TATTTCTATGTTTGTCCCTAGCCTCATGAGACTGGAAGACAAGAGATTCTTGAAGTTTACTGTTATATCCTCAAAGGCTAACAAAATACAATTTAAATTCCCTTTAGCAATAGCATAAAAATCCTCAAATATCTTAGGAATTTATGTAATAAAAAAGATATGCAAGACTACTATGTCAAAAACTAAAAATCTCACTGGAGTCTTGGAAAACTCAACAAGCCAAAATTCCAAATCTGATTCCATAATCGATAAGAAAGTGCAAAGAGCCAGGATCCTCTTGAAGAAAACAAAACAAAAGAGAGAAAACCAGGAGGGGAGACTTGCTCTACCATATGTTAAGACTTCTTATTTAGTCAGAGTAACTGAAGTTGTTGTTATTGGCACAAATAAAGACAAACACATCAGTGGTTTGAAATAGAAAGTTCAGGAACAGATCTCCTCAGATACATTGATTTATGACAGTGAAGGCAGCACAGAGCAGTAGGGAAAAACAGGCTGCAAACAACCATTAAACATAAAAATATGAAATTTAAATTAAGAAATAATGTTCATCAAAAAAAAAAGACTATTTAGAGAATGAAAAGGGAAGCTGTAGAACAAGAGACTTCGGCAGCATATATAATTTAAGAGGGGTTTGCATTCAGGATATGTTGGATTGGCCAAACAGGTCATTCAGGTGTTTTGGAAACAGGCGTTATGAAAAACCCAGATGACCTTTTTTGGCCAGCCAGATACTAAGGATTACAAAACAAAAAGCAAAAGGTAAATAAGACAAGAGAAAATTGGGTAACAGGCTAGAGCGATTCACAGAAGAGGAAGTACAAAAGGCCACCAAACATGAAGACGTATTTGACCTTGTCAGCAATTACGGAAATGTCAAGTTAAAAACTCCACTAGAATGGCTAAAATTAAAAGGACTGACAATCTTAATTGCAGGCCAGAATATAGAGCAGTAAGAACTCATAGATTGCTAATGGGTGTATAAATTGGTATAAACATCTTGGAAGACATTTTGGAGTTATCTGAGAAAGGTGAATATAGGTAGACCCTTAGGCCAGCAGTTCTCTTCAAGAGAAATATGTGCACATGTACACCAAGAGACACGTGCAGAAGTGTTGATACTAGCATTCATAGTAGCCTCAAACTGGAATTTAGTTTGAACCAAAATTGGAACCAAAACTGGAGTTTGTTCATGAACCCAAAGGTTCATAAATAGACTGAATAAAGATTGAATTCTAGACTGCAGTGAAAATGAACTGCAGTTTCACACAAGAATATAATTTAATCTCAAACACAATATTAAGCAGAAAAAGCTCATCACAAAAGGATAGTTACCATATGATTTCATTTATATAAAATTATATAAAATTCAACAGGCGAAAGAAAATATAGTATTTAGGGATTCATACTTCAGTGGTCAAACAAAAAGTCACTATATTAAATCAGAAAAATGGTTACCACTGTGGTTAATGAGACAGTTGTGAATAGGAAAGAGTATGTGGGAAACTTCTGAGAGTATTATCAAACTTCTATTTCTGGATAGTAGTTAAATCAGGGGTCCCTAACCTCTAGAATCTAATACCTAATGATCTGAGGTAGAGCTAATATAATGATAATAGAATAGATAGAAATAAATGCAATGTGCTTGAATCATTGCAAAACCATCTCCCCACCCTGCCTGCCCTGGTTCATGGAAAAATTGTCTTCCATAAAACCTGTCCCTGGTGCCAAAAAGGGTGAGGACTGCTGAGTTAAATGGTTGTGTTTTATAATAACTTGTTCAGTTGAACAGTTATGTTTCTTTGTGCTTATCATTATAATTTTTTTTGTAATTACTTCCTCATCTTCATAACAGCATATTTTACTGACTAGCAAATTGAAAGGATTGAAGGCCTTGGGACTCTCTTAACTGCTGATGACAGAAAACACAACCCAAACTGGCTTAAGCACAAAAGATGATTTTATTGCCTAATGTAATTAGATAGAGTATGGACATGCTGGCTTCAGATGAGGCCTAGGTTGGGGCTCATACATGGTGACCAGCCCTGGTTTCTTTTTACATCTCAGTTTCTTTTACTTCCTTTGGCAAATTTTCAAATTGGCTCTTCCCTTTTGGATCTAGGATGGCCTCCTGTAGTCCATGAAATTACAGGAAATAATTAATATATATGACAATCAATAACCATTTGTTGGGATGGCCAAAAAGTTTGTCTGGGTTTTTCTGTAAGATGGTATGGAATAGCTCAAATGAACTTTTTGGCTGATCCAGTATTTAGTTGGATATCATCATGCTTGAAAAGCAACACAGTTTTATTTTACTAACCGTCTCAGACTTAGAATCAAGACAAAGAAAGTGACTGGGCAGGACAGAGGGACACCAGTGGACCTTAAATCTGAAGACAACAAAACATTTTTTCCTTTGCTGATGTGAGAAATTCAAAATAGTCACAGGCACTCAGACTGATTAAAAACAAAGCTGGCTTGTAAGACATGACAGTAACATAATGAGTGAAACTTGATTGTATCTTGGTTAGAAAAAAGTTGTCTGTAAAAGATATTTTAAGGAGAATTGGGAAAAATGGAGTATTGGCTGGACGATAAAAAGATTTAGGGAATTACACTTTGTTTTCTTCAGTGTAGTAATAGCATTTGGTAATACTGGAAAAAGCTCTTATTTTTAGAAGAGGCAGGCTAGAGCATTTAGGGGTGCAACATGTTGATGTCTGCAACTTACTCTCAAATAGCTCAACAAAAGACACACACATATAGATAAAGCAAATATTCAAAACTTTAACAAATGTTGACTGTTGACTGAATCTAGATGGTGAGGATATGAGTGATGATTCTAATGTTCTTTTAATTCTTGTATATATTTGAAGCTCTTCAAAATAAAAAGTTGGTGAAATAAACAATTGGGGGGGGGGGAAGTTTAAAAATGCTGACCAAGCAAAAAGCTGACATATTTCTATGTTTTTTCTTCCTGCAGCCTAGGCATTACTTGCACAAGAGGCAGAAAAGGATAAATTTATTTTGGTATTCAAGCAGTATACAAGATCTATTGCTTTTCCAATTATCCATGAAAACATTTATTTAGCATCAACTATGTGTATGCATCTCATTGTTAATAGGGAGTTATAATTTTATCTCTGTCTGACTTTATTACAGATTAACTGTTGCCAACCAAATACCAAAGATGGGAGGAAGGAAACTAATAACATTTACTAAGGGCTTACTTTGAAACATAAATATTAGCCTACATCATTTATTTATTTTTTGTTATAATCCTGTGAAGTAAATATTGTCATTATCCCTGTTTACAGATGGTAGATGGAGTCATTTGTATACTTGGCACAAATAGGATCCCACATCTAACAAGTGGGGGACATCTGAACCTAAGAGTAAATCTCTTATCATACATTGCTGGTGGGAATATAAAATGGAGCAGCCACTTTGGAAAACAGTCTAGCAGTTTCTCAAAAAATTAAATATTGAGTTACCATGTGCATGCATGCTAAGTCACTTCAGTTGTCGCTTCATAGATCCTATGAACTGTAGCCTTCCAGGCCCCTCTGTCCATGGAATTCTCTAGGCAAGAATACTGGAGTGGGTTGCCATACCCTCCTCCAGGGGATCTTCCCCACTCAGGGATCAAACCTGCATCTCCTGTGGCTCCTGCACTGCAGGTGGATTCTTTACTGCTGGGCCACTGGAAAAGGTGATGCATAACTGGCTACCAGTTATCTGCCGATTCGAAACAAAGGACTATTTCTATGTGATCATTCAGTTCAGTTCAGTTTGGTCACTCAGTCCTGTCTGACTCTCTGCGACCCCATGGACTGCAGCACGCCAGGCCTCCCTGTCCATCACCAACTCTTGGAGTTTACTCAAACCCATGCCTATTGAGTTGGTGATGCCATTCAACCATCTCATCCTCTGTCATCCCCTTCTCCCGCCTTCAATCTTTCCCAGCATCAGGGTCTTTTCAAATGAGTCAGCTCTTTGAATCAAGTGGCCAAAGTACTGGAGTTTCAGCTTCCGCATTAGTCCTTCTAATGAATATTCAGGACTGATTTCCTTTAGGATGGACTGGTTGGATCTCCTTGCAGTCCAAGGGACTCTCAAGAGTCTTCTCCAACACCACAGTTCAAAAGCATCAATTCTT